TGTTCTGATAGCCTTTCAACAAAGTTCTCGAAGTGAGTTTGTGTTTATACAGGGTGTACCGCCCCCACCTACGTCAACCAATCATGTCAATGCGGAGCTATACGGAGCCCTCCGCATTGTTAAAAAATTGAGGAGGCGCACGGCATCTTCGTACGGCAGCTTCCGGAAGTTCCGCAATTGCGTCACACCCTCCGTACGGAGCCTTTGGTCCTCATATCCGGATCAAGCATAAATTGGCTTTAAGAGAAGAAGCACACACGATCGAGAGGGGTAGAAAGCAGTTGCTTCGCGAGCCTGAAAATACATGATCTAAGTGATTGATAGTTGGTATTCAGCAGTCATAAAAGTATGCCTTATTTACTTTTAATGAATGACTAAAATAGTGATTTTTGTCAGACCGCATAGGCAGCAGCTCTATAGAGATGAGATGATGACTTGGAGTGAAAATAATAGTCATCAGATTAATGTTTTTATTTATTAAAGTAATGTGAATAAATCATGGTTAGTAAGTGATAAGCAGTACTTTTATTGTTTTATTCAGATTTGTTACAGCATTCAACCCACATATTGCATAGTGCATTTAATGTCAGAAAATAATTGAAATTGAAAACCGTGATTATTTTTTAAATAATCAAACCGAAACCAAACCGTCCTTAAAAAGCACTAATCGTTCAGCACTATTCGCTGCAGATATTCACAGTTTCCGCCCTGGCTGCACCTGTGGGGCTGACTTTATTATCTAAATTATTTTCACGCTTGGTTATTGTACAGGGAACAGACAAAAATTGATCCAATAAATTACATTGAGTTCTAAGATATAATTCTGTGGTAAAGGTCCTCAATCAGTTAGTACATGATGTCTCAGTTGGCCCTGCCTTCTGCTTAGCAACACAGCACAGCAGCAGACTCTAAAGAATCCATCCGTTCCTCTTTCTCACCATGGCTTTCTCAAGTCGAGGCCGTTATGGTCCAACACAATGTAGAAAGAAAGATGTCTGCAGTGCTCTGCAGTGGCATTTGTTAAGTGGTTTGTGGGTACTTTTATATGTGTTTGTGTGTGTGTGTGTTTTTATTACATGGTGTGTGTTTGACTCTTTCTGGTCATGACTGACTCAGTTTGGAGCTGTGGCTTCCTTAGGAAGTCTCTCTGTTTCCTCCTCTCAGATTATCTGCACTAAATCAGTATTCTACCGGGGTGACATGCTCTTTGCATTTCCCCATTTACGTGTGTGTGTGTGTGTGTAAGATTAGCTTATTGCCCCATTCTGAGTGTCTCACAGTACGTGTCGAAGTCATAGACGGTGTGACATGGGAAACTCAGATCGACAAGATGTGGAGGCACATATTTCGCACCAAACAGGGTTTTCGTGTGCCCCAGGCAAGTCTCACACCGTGTGTGTCTGTGTGTATTGCTGGCTGTGTGTGTGGTGTATTTTAGGAGCTAGGGAAAGGGGTTTCAGTGAACTGAGAGGTAGGCGTAGGAAACGCATCTGGCTGTAGCCTCCTCTGACCTTGACCTTTCTGACTGTCGCAGTGGAAAGGTGAAGGCCAGAGTACAGTCAAAATAGACTCTCCTAGAACCTCTGACTTCAAATGAGTTGATATTTTGTTATTCATCACTTGTGTCCGAGACATTCTAGAATACATGAACATGACTACTGAGAAACTATAAATGCTATCATTGTAGCAAAATGTTTTAAAGTTAAACCATTCTAAAGTCGCTGATTTGATATCATTGTTTTTTTTTTTTTAGCTACCCAGCACCGCTTTGAGCAGATTTGCCTTGTCTCTGGGAGTCTCACTTGTTCCAAAGAACTTGAATTACTTCTAGTCAGCACAATGTGCAAAAGCCTATTGAGTGTTCTGTCAGGTGAAATGCACTAATTTACAACTTGGCTTAGAAAATGTGTTGTAGCCTTCTCGGAAGAGCAAGAGACTGTGAAACAGTGGTCTATATTCGCTATTAGCTTTTTGTGTGTATGTATTTTGTGTGTGTTAACAGAGAAACTGGAAGTGAATTGTGGGAGGGCAGAGCTACTTCCTGTCATCTGTTTGTGGCAACCAATCCTATGGCCTTCCTGCCAACCTGGGTGGACAGGACACACACTCACTGCCCCTCCACTGTGTGTCCGTGTGTGTCACTTATTTATAGAGCCCTCAACTCCTAGCCTAAAATAATGCCTTTACTTGTGGCTAACCCAATGTCATGTGGTTCCATCGCCTTGACAACCAACCTTTTCTATAGACTCTGCATGTGACGAGTCCTGCACGGGTCAGTTTTTTGCAGCTGCACCCGCTCCACGCCGGCCACATCAATTCCGAGCCCAACCCAACCCACCCGCATAGAACTGTCTCGAGAGCCGATCCGTAACACGCCAAATAACATCAATTTATTAGTTTTTTATGACTCCAGAGTAGTAGGCTATTATTCTCCTTCCTGTTAATTTGTCTGCATGTCTATTCATCATTTGGATAAAAGGAAACCATTCCATGAATTAAAAGCGATAGGCGTATCTACCTATTTACACAATGAGATGTGGCACATTGACAACTCAAATCGCTTTGAAATAGAGCCTTCTAATTAGCCTTCTAATTAGCCTTCTTACCTAATGAAAGCCTATAACCAACAATACAAAACAAGATCGTTACATTCGATATTGTTTCGATAATCAAATAGTTTACTTGAAACTTTTCAATTAAACTATTACCAGAATCGCATATAGGCTGCAAAAATGTATTTATTTAGTAGGCTCTACTCAAACTTTTACCAGCCACACTGGTTTAAACTTCATATGGCCTGCGTTTGGTCTAAATGAACGAAAGCCTGAATTAATGTAATAATTAACTGAATTAGCCTATCGTTAACAAAAACCTGATTTTCCTTTTGCATACTGTGTATCCATCTACCGTGCAGCACCTGTTTCCACAATGGTGTATTTCATTACCTTTTTATTTATCCAGTTACGTTAGCCATTTTTGCTTGGAATGAAACTTGCCAACGTATTTTCATGTATGGGGATGAAACATAAGTTTCAGCACCACGCAAAAAATGGACAGTTCCCTACATTTTAGTCATTTAGCAGACGCTCTTATCCAGAGTGTCTTACAGGAGCAATTAGGGTTAAGTGCCTTGCTTAAAGGCATATCGACAGATTTTTCACCTAGCCGGCTTGGGGATTAGAACCAGCGACCTTTCGGTTACTGGCACAACGCTCTTACCCACTAAGCTACCTGCCGCCTAATCTGCTGCGTTGATGGTAGCCCATATATCTGACACCGCTCACTGAATGGAATTCACAACACCGCAAGCTCCTGGGTTTGAAAACAAATATCTTAATTGAAAACTTTTCCGACATGCAAAATAATTGTTCTGAACTGCGAGCCGACCCGCGGGTTGAAAGAATGTTTCCGTTCCACTCGCCAGCTGATTTCTTTGCGGGTCAACTGCGCGGAACCATGGATATCCGACCCGATGCAGGACTCTGTGATATACAAACCTGAAATTATTTTCCCTGTGACACCTTCCAATCAGGACCGGTCCCACATTACCTGGGTAGAGAAGGACATTGCCAATATTAATGCCAAGGTAAGAGTATTCCTAATTCAGTGGCCTTAGCTCACTGCCAAGTCAATACGCTCTCTTCCTCTATTGCTTTGCTAAATCAATACTGTCAACAATGCTAGCATATGCAGCTACTAATATGTCTGTCTGACTCAAATGACTGGAGAGCTATTGCATTTCACTCTGTAGTCAGTCCACTTAGTTGTGGCTGTCTGAGAAGAGAATGTATTTCTTTAGAAGAATTTGACTGGCACCTTCCTCACATCTTGGCTCTAGAAATGCGCTCTTCAGCATCCATTTCAAATCCCTGTGGATTTTCTAAGGTTATCATCACATAGCTTTAAAGGGATACCTCAAGCTACATTGACTCTCCATTTAAAGTGTCTCTTAGTCCAGGACTAGGCTCTGTGTGGGAAACCTGCCCAAAATTAGACGTCTTTATCACCTCGAGAGAGCTAGACGGGATTTCATACTGTATTACATTCTACATTTTAGTCATTTAGCAGACGCTCTTATCCAGAGCGACTTACAGTTAGCATACATTGTTGTTTTTTTCATACTGTATGAAGACAGTTGGTCTGCATTACAGTAGCAGTGATACTGTATACAATATGTCTTGATCTGGTTATAGTAGTGCAATAGAGCTCTATAGTATCTAATATGCAATCGTAGGAGCCTGCAAAAGAAAGTGACTTAGCAAGCAGATGGAGACTTTGAGAGAAATGGTGTTCTGTGAAGCTAAGAGGAAGTGTGCGTTGACTCATATAGACACACAGTGACGGTGTGTTTGTAGGGATGTGGAAGGCCCTCTCCTTACACATAGACATGGGTAGAGACAAGGATGGCAGGAAAGAGGCTGTAAGGGATGCCTGTCATCAGGCTATAAAAGTCCCCCCACCCCTCTGTCTCTCTCGCTGTCTGGGTCATGGTGTTGGCAGTTAGGGAGGCGACACCTCGTCACTCTGCCCGCTCTGTGGCCATAGCCAAAGGGAAACGGGGCAGAGCGGTGCATGATGGGGCGGGAGGGGCCGCTGGCCTGTCAGCTCCAGCAGGAAGGAGGAGATTTCAGAGAGGGCTGAGGATGAACTGTCTCTCTCTTTATCTCTCTTTGTCCCTCTCTCTCTCTCTCATTCACACACTAGTTTTGTGGTGTGTGGGTTCTTTATACAGGTCTCAGAGAGCGGACTCTTCCTTCCTGCCTCTCTCTCTCTCTCTCTCTCTCTCTCTCAGTTCAGCAGTAGTCAGAGCTCTGTGCTTGCAGAGGACAGGACACACAGAACTAACAGAGAGTTGGCTTACATACAGAGGATACAACTTTCACCCCATCTTACCATGCAGTCTACCAGTCTGGTATGAGAGTGGGGACTCTGTCCGGAGGTAGGGGGGGGGTGGGGGGGTGGGACTGGGATGAGGTCTAGGCTGGCAAGGCAGTGTTGAGATGGAAAAGGACAGGAGGAAGTTTAAAGTGAGCCGCTTGCTGACCCTCTACCTCTTCAAGAAGCACCATAACAAGGCTTTGGGCAGAATCAGCGCGCCACAGACACAGATGGGCCATGGCACCTCCACAGAGAAAGAGACAGGCAATGAGACCGACACCTCCCATGCAGACAGTCACAACAGCACCCAGTGGACGGTAATGTGGTCTTCATACTGGGGAGAATGGTCATGCAATTAAGTGCATTTTTTACTTAAGCGGAAGGCTTCGCCCCATACAGAATTAGATCTTCGCTTATTGTCATATGATTGTGTGTGGACTATGGAGCAGGAGATGTGCAAAAGGCGTGTGTTAGTTAGGAAGTGTTGTCCGTGTTTCTCCTATATTCATTTAGCAGCGGCAGGGTGCCGCTTTTTTTAAATAAATAAAATGTGGGATGGTGAATGACTAAAACAATATAAAGTATGTAGAAAAGATAATGGAGATATATATTTTTAAATAAAGATCACATTTTCTTTCAGCTCAATGACTAAATGTGTAGAATTGCAGGAAATTAGCTTTAAAGTAACTGCCCAGTGAAAATCTCACTTTTAAAAGTTAATTGCAGGTGTTCATCATTATCACCTTCACAGGTGTTCACCATTATCCAGCTCCTGCAAAACGCCTGCTGTTAGTCATTTGCAACCTAAACAAAGATAAATATTGATAGTATGAAAATGGAACAATATGAACATATGGTTCTTTGTCTATGGTTCTTTGTCTTGATGTGTTACTAATGTACATTATTTTATATTTATTGCTATAAACTATGCTAGGGTTAGGAGATGATAGATACAATGGGTTTGTGAGGGTTTTTACTTTAAAGAGATTAACTTTACACAAGTTATGTTCGATAAGTTAGGTGTTGTTATTTTAAGTGGTTCAGCAGTGTGGTAGAAGTGTTTGTGGTCAGAAGTGTTAGCAGCGTTGGAAAAAGTACCCAATTGTCATATTTGAGGTAAAGTAAACAGAAAATGATTCAAGGAAAAGTGAAAGTCACCCAGTAAAATACTACTTGAGTAAAAGTCTAAAAGTATTTGGTTTTAAATATACTTAAGTATCAAAAGTAAATGTAATTGCTAAAATATACTTAAGTATCAAAAGTAAGTAAAAGTATACATCTTTTCAAATTCCTTATATAAAGCAAACCAGGTGGCACCATTTTCTTGTTTTTAAAATTTACGGATAGCCAGGGGCATGCTCCAACGCTCAGACATAATTTACAAACTAAGCATGTGTTTAGTGAGTCTGCCAGATCGGAGGCAGTAGGGATGACCAGGTATGTTCTCATTATACATGTGTGAATTAGACAATTTTCCTGTCCTGCTAAGCATTCAAAATGTAACGAGTACTTTTGGGTGACAGGAAAAATGTATGGAGTAAAATATAGATAATTTTAATTAGAAATGTAGTGAAGTAAAAGTAGTCCAACATATAAATAGTAAAGTACAGAGACCCAAAAAAACTACTTAAATACTTTCAAGTACGTCTCCGCTGTATCCAAGATGCTTGATCTTGACTTCTAGCCACTTAGCTAGCAAGTTAGCAAACCAAATGCATAGCTGGAGCCCTGAGCTGGATCTAATTTGTTTGACACATTTTAGATTTCGTATAGTTACACTTAACTTATAATTATAAGCAGTGGCGTAGCACAAAGCCCCCGTCGATATTTAGAATACCCCAGTGTACAGTATAAACGGTATATTGCCCAAGCCTAGTGTGTACTGTGTGAATGTTCTGTTGTAATTGCAGTATGATACAGCTATTAAAGATGTTTTGGGCAAGATAAAGTAGGCCTAGGCTCTAAAGCAGCCTCTTTGCTACAACGCTGGTGTAAAAACAGAATTATTTCAAGCTGTGGCTGTGGTTACCAGTCTCAATATAATTGACAGTAAATGGTGCTATCAGTCGGTTTCCAGTGAGACTCATAACACAAACATACGTCATGGTTGTGAACTTCCCCTTGTTAATTTTCACAGGGTTTTCTGACTACTCTTGTTTCCTCCCTCCATCAGTCTGTGCCAAGATGTTTTCTTCAGTAGTTGAGAATGTTGGAACTCTACTTAGGATAAAACCCTGTGTGTATCACTGCTCTGTATACTTCTAAGCTGCACCAGGCCATTTCCTTTCTCTCAACTCGCTCTCTCGCTTTCTATACTCTCTTGGCTGCAACTTTTGTTTTCTATCCTCTTCCTCTTTCCGGTTGGCTTCTCTGCATCGTTGCTCGGAGGTACACACACTGTGATCAGGACACACCCTTGTGCAACCTCCCAGCAACTTTTTAGTGGCCTGCTGAAGGCCACTGAGTATTCGGTAGTGGCGCGTACGCCACAGTAGAAGGACGCTCTGTTCTTTTCCATTTTTAAATATTCTTCAACTTCATGTGCTAAAACGTCTGTCGGTTTCCATTTGGAGAGAACTGTGAGAGACCGATTTGTACTAAAGGACAGTCAGTCGGCTGAAGTTCTAATCGGTGTATTCAACCTCAAAATACACAGTCACTTGAAAACACATGTATTGTATCATGGTTAGGATCAGTCTGATGAGCAGATGGGTTCAAATGTTTTCGCATTGTGTAGATTATAATCAAGCTTGGAAAGCTTTCCTCCGCCTACTATACTGTGGTATCATAGATACTGTGGTGTCTCCTGGATAATGGACCTTCTCCCCCTCTATCTCTCTCCAGGAGGATGACATCATCAAGGAGATCAACATCACCCACGTGGTCAAGGAGGGCTCAGAGAAGGCCGACGCTCGCCAGTTTGAGCTGCTCAAAGTGCTGGGCCAGGGCTCCTTCGGCAAGGTAAGACATCACCCCTCTAAGGTAGCACATTTGCCTTTGTTCAAATAACCCTCATAACAGATCTGAGAAGTGGTTCACATTGCTATACACATGTATACCTCTTGTTTTGAACGCCCATCTTTTTAGGGGAACAAATCATGTTGCTAATGACAGCACTTGACCGCTGAAAGTTTATCACTACAGTAAAAAGACTTCACACTTAATAATTTGCCTCTAAATAAGCATGCAAAAAGAGTTGGCAAAAGGGGTTCTCGTTTTCATATCAAACAGTTTCCTAGGAAACATTTAAACAGTTTCCAAAATGCAGTGTTCAATCTCCCCAAAGTATTGCTTCTTATTGAGTTTGTGAACATATCAAAAAAGCATATGCACCATAATACAGAGGTAAAAGCCTGTAGATGGAAGAATCCATTTGTATGGTCATTGGTATGGCTTGAGATTGTTCAGGCGTGCTCTGGTGCCACTATGTTAATAATCCACACCTGGATTAGCCTGACACACAAACACGCATGTAACCAATGTGAAATGTCTAGCTAGTTAGCGGTGCGTGCTAGTAGCGTTCAATCGGTGATGTCACTCACTCTGAGACCTTGAAGTAGTTGTTTCCCTTGCTCTGCAAGGACCGCAGTTTTTGTGGAGCGACGGGTAACTATGCTTCTTGTGTGACAGTAGACGATGTGTTCAGAGGGTCTTTGGTTGGAGCCCAGGTTGGGGCAAGAAGAGGGACGGAAGCAACACTGTTAGACACACAGACACACACACACACCTGTCATTCAGCTCACTGCTTCACCCACTCCAGGCTGTATCACAACCGGCCGTGATTGGGAGTCCCATAGGCACAATTGGCCTAGCGTCATCCGGGTTTGGCTGGTGTAGGCAGTCATTGTAAATAAGAATTTGTTCTTAACTGACTTGCCTAGTTAAATAAAGGTAAAATACATTTTTTTAAAAACTCCTCTAGCATTGTGGCACAGGAGGTAGCCTAGATTCACTTTATTTAGAGCACTTTAAACACATTATTGACAAACCAACTCAATGTTCCCTCATATTCGTTCCATTTAATCTCCTACTTATCAGACTGCAAGATCAGAAATAGCAAAAAACATTATAATTTCTGGTTGAGCTCATTGCTCTTGATGTCTGGTCATTTCAAAATGGATTGTGAATGTAATGAATGCATAGATAGCGAAAAATATGGACGTTAAAGCTATCTAGGTCAATATAATGGACGTTTACCTAGCAGTTTATGGGACATTGTCTGGCATTTTATAGTATTTGCATATCATTTGCAGTTCAAGAAAATCCCCATAGAAAATCAAAGACCAAAGTATTTTGTTTATTGAAAAGTAGTTCTACCAACGAACATTCCCCTTGTCAGTCCCATAGGTTTGTAGCCTACTGCACTGGATTGAACATAGAAATATAAATACCTATGTGTACATTCAATATGGCCGCCGGTCCCTCCATCACAGAGCATAGACTTGAATAGGAATGTCCATTCTAGTTCTTCCTTTTCTATGGGATTAAGAGTTGGATGTTGTCTTGTGTTGCCTGCAGGTGTTTTTGGTGCGGAAGGTGACGCCTCCCGACAACAACGAGCTGTACGCCATGAAGGTCCTGAGAAAAGCCACCCTCAAAGGTACACATATACGTTTGTTTTACTATACTTGTTGGGACTAAACAATTGATTCCCATTCAAAATTCTGTTTTCCCTAACCCCTAAAGCTAACCCTAAAATAGCAGTTTTCCTTGTGGGGACCGGTAAAATGTCCCCACTTGTCTGAATTTTCTTTGTTTTACTATCATTTGTACATTTTTCTTTACATTTTTAGTCATTTAGCAGACACTCTTATCCAGAGCGACTTACAGTTAGTGAGCTACAGGGGACTTCTGGTCCCCACAAGGATAGTAAAGCCAAAAACAAACACACAGAGTAACGGAGGAAAGCGGAAAAGAGACATATACTATCATGGGAAACGATACTGTAGCTACACATTCATGGGATTGAAAACATGTTGTGAACTCACTGAGGCATCCCACATCAAAAACACCCCACTTTACAGCAAACACGAGTGGTTATGTTCTTAGCGAGGGCTCGGTCTCACCTCTTTCATTTGCAGACATGTAGTTTTGCACTTGCTACTCCACGTGTCCTTTTGCTTTACACTTTGCCCCCCCCTGTTTTTGTTTTGATCTTGTTTCTGTGTTGATCTTGATTCAAGGCTTTGATAGTGAGAAGAAATCAACCGTTTTACAGTTAGTGGGTACCTGTTTTTGTGTGCTGTGGTCTGCTGCTGTGGGATCTAGTCTACACTAGATGTCAACACCCTGACAGTTTCATAGATTAGCGCTTCAATGTAATTGTGTGGTGAAAATTAATCTAATCGTCCAATATTGGTTTCACATGGACCTCGACAAGGATATTTTCATTATTTTTCGGTTGTTAGATGAATTGATTTAGCAGTTTTATGGCCTTCAGACAAGCATTGGTTATTTGGTGTTTTGTATTGAATATTGAATATATCCCATTTAAAATACCAATGGTGGCATTTTGGCGTTCATTCAGGTCGTGTCTCAGCATTAGGCAGCCTTAGGCACCCAGTTCCAAACCCATCTTTGTTACCGAGCCACGGCTATAGTAAGGTTTTGAGCTAACCTTATGACAGCGCTGACACGGTGTGGCCCTCACCTCCCACAGTGAGAGACCGGGTGAGGACCAAGATGGAGAGAGACATCCTGGCAGACGTCAACCACCCCTTTGTGGTCAAACTCCACTATGGTGAGTAACAACCAGATCTAGGTTCATAAAGTACAGTATATTAGAAAAACCAAGGTCTGGTGACAACGCTATGACAGCCAAAAGCTATTAACTTCCCTCTGGTCATCAAGGGCAGTCATTGTTTAAATGAACAGCAACAACTTTGGGTGTTCTAGGTTTACCAGACAAATGGACTTTTAGCACTACTCCTAACCACATGTTTGTTTGTATGTGCCTCCAGCATTTCAGACAGAGGGAAAGCTCTATCTGATCCTGGACTTTCTGAGAGGAGGTGATCTCTTCACCAGGCTGTCGAAAGAGGTGTGTTCTTAGTCTTATTTTATGTCTCATTCTCCTCTCTAATCATGATCCTGTCTGGACTCATGTACGTTTTTTTCCTCTTTGTGTGTGTGTGTGTGTGTATATGTTTGTTTGGGTATCGTATCCAGGTGATGTTCACAGAGGAGGACGTGAAGTTCTACCTAGCAGAGTTGGCCCTGGGCCTGGACCACCTGCATGGCCTGGGCATCATCTACAGAGACCTCAAACCTGAGAAGTAGGTGGAGCCTCAGTGAAGGGCAGCTAGTCCTAGCAAATGGAACGAAAGTGAGAGGGACCTACCTGAATTTGTCCAATAGAAACTCTCGTTTTCATAGCAAAACACAACTGTTTGCAACTGTTTGGACTAAAGATTACACCCCTTAAGTGCTATGCTATTGTAGCCCCGACCACAAATGTCTGGGTTTTGGTGTTCTTTTCTATAATGAGAGGGACATTGAGATGCAGAGTGCTTCTCTGTTATCTCTTACAGACTTTGCTATAACCATTATTCAAAGCCCCTAATTCTAATTTTAGCCCCATGGTGATAACATTAATGAACCCCATCAGAACTGAGAGGACTGAATGCACAACCAGAGCTATTATCACGTCTGGTCTTGAGCAATGGGATCTTAACATGATATATGGATACTAGAGAATGAGAAAGCTAGTCTGCACAGACAGATTAGACACGTTTTATTCCTTCCCGTACGTATGTGGCAGATACAATTCTGATACACTGTGAATTCACTGAGAGGGGACATCTTGATTTGGCCAGCCCTTTTGCCATTACAATTGTGAAGGTGTGCTACTAAATGTTTTAGGTTTTTTTAGTCTACAGAGTGTTTTTTGAACTCACAGAAAGTATTCTAGACTCAGTGTCAGGTTATTTGTACCAGTCTGTGGTTGTGACAACATTTTTTTTCTACCTTTTTATCACAATATGATAGTACTACGCACCTCACACTAACACCTCTTCTCATTTTATTTTCTAGCATTCTACTGGATGAAGAAGGCCATATCAAACTCACAGGTACCCTCCCCCACACACTTCCCTCCCCCCACACACTTTCCATCCTCCTGTTGACCTTCCCCATTAGTCAGTGAATCACCAAAGCCTAATCTGTCCCTGTGTAGATAACTTCTCTATATATCATTACCTAGAAGTTAATTATGTTTCTCCTGCATCTTATCAACCCTATAATCACTCTCTCTATTGGCTGTTTACCTTTTGGGCGTACACGCACGCACAAACACAAGCATCAAAGGTGACCTTGAATATATGTCACGGTGTGATGTATTAACTTCACATGGGGAATATGAATTATGAGGCTTTTGAATACCTGCATGAGTCATGAAGGCATCAGGAAGTGTTACAGAAAGTTTTCCCTGATAATGGCCCTATATAATTCCCCACTATATATGGAATAGGGGGCCATTGCGAACGCACCCTGGGCCCTAGTTGTAGGCTATGGAATAGTTGTAGGGCAGGTCAGGTCATATGATCAGGAAAAACTCCTGGCCATATCCATAAAGCATAGTGCAAATAATGTACTCTATTCCTGTACAGGTGTAGGATCCTAATTTGGTCATCCTGCACAGCAGGAAATGCATACTTGTAGTGAATTCAAGGTTTAAAAAGGTTTCTAATGTTTGTAATTTCCACTTTAAAATTTCACTTGATTTGCTCTGACTAAAAATCTATTATCCCATACAAAAATGTCCACTAATTATAATTCACACAATAATGCACATTTCCTGTTGCTGTAGGATTATTTTCCTGCTGTGAAAAACAGGTCAAATTAAGATCCTATACCTGTATGCCTGCCTGTCCACTGTGTGTATTCATGATGTGTGTTTATAATAGTACCGGTAGTTGAATGGTAACTGACTTGTGGCGTTTTAACCCCAGATTTTGGCCTGTGTAAAGAGGCCGTTGACCATGAGAAGAAGGCCTACTCCTTCTGTGGTACGGTGGAGTACATGGCACCAGAGGTGGTGAACAGGCAGGGCCACATCCACAGTGCGGACTGGTGGTCGTTTGGGGTACTGATGGTGAGTCATCATATCTCATTTGGGTCATGTTCATTAGTGCACAATGTAGTAAAACGCTTTGCAAATGAAAATGATCGTTAGTTTATGTAGTTCCTCCCTGTTTGTCTGTTTTCTTCAATTTGAACACAACCCTTATAATACAGACAATCAAACAAACATAAATATGATGTGTGTGTTTGCGTCAGAGCCCTAGAATAGAATTGAATGTCAAAGTGTCATATGTCAAATATGGTGATTGTATTTGTTTCACAGTTTGAGATGCTGACCGGATCGCTACCGTTCCATGGAAAGGACCGCAAAGAGACCATGAACCTGATCCTCAAGTAGGTAGACACAATCACAGGCTAGTGTCTGTAAGCAGTTAACCCAGTTCCCCGGGTGCCGATTACGTGGATGTCGATTAAGGCAGCCATCCGCACCTCTCGGATTCAGTCTTTGAAATTGTTGCATGCTGCATTTATATTTTTGTTCAGTATATTTATTTAGCCTGGTTGAACCAGACTGAATGCTGTGTTCAGGAAAACAATGGTGAACGTTCTGCAGCATTCAATCTGGATTAACCAGGCTACTATTTATTAGCCTGTTGGATTTAACAATGTCACCCCCTGCAGGGCAAGATTGGGAATGCCCCAGTTCCTGAGTTCAGAGGCCCAAAGTCTCCTCCGAGCTCTGTTCAAGAGGAACCCTACCAACAGACTGGGTGAGTATTCCGTAACTATATGTACTTACCCACTAGCTAATGACAAGCTAATTACAGTGGTTGTTCCACTAGTAGAGTAATTACTTTGGTATAATACTACCTATTTTATGTTAAGCATAGAGCTTTTGCATAGGTTGTATGCAGTAATCCATACTAACAGTGTGATTGTGTGGACAGGGTCGGGGGCAGACGGTGCAGAGGAGATCAAACGCCACGCTTTCTTCTCCACCATAGACTGGAATGTGAGTGGCACGTCTTCTGACACCTCATACTACCAGTTCTATCAGGGAATCAGATTATCATTATTCAATTATCATTTTAAAAGGAGCCATATTCTTCAGTAATTACCAAGTTGCCATTGCTTTAGCCAGGGGTGAAAGTAAGCCGGTTCGCTACAGAGTACCGGCAAAATAAATAGTGGGGGTACACTGTACCGATAAAACATGAGTCATAACAATAATTTAAACAAAAATAGAAAGAAAACGGTAGGCTATTACACCATTTATTATTACCGCCTGTCAGTCACATGAGAAATTAGCAAATGGAGTTGAAAACGGGTGGTATACGCTCCAAAATGCGGTGTGGTTCGACGTGAACACTGAATGAATTTTGCAAAGGCAAAGATGACTGACCAAGACGTGTGTGGGCAGCAAGACTCATCAATCAATTTAGGCTACAAGAATAGGCCTATTATGACAATCGCTGAATGTCATTACACTTTTTGGTGTTTTGTAACCGATGTCTCTTTCCATTCTGTAAATGGCGGATGCACAGTGCACTGTTTGATTGCTGGGATTATTTTAGAGTGGAGGAACATAATAATAATATACCATTTAGCAGACACTTTTATCTAAAGCGACTTACAGTCATGCGTGCATACATTTTTGTGTATGGGTGGTCCCGGGGATCGAACCCACTACCTTGGCATTACAAGCGCTGTGCTCTACCAGCTGAGCTACAGAGGACCAAAATGCAGAGGTAGCCTACTTCTTAAATGATTTGTTTGACAATCAGATTAAAAGCATCATGACTGGTTGTGTTCATGCCACATTATAAGGTAATACTGAATATTTTTACAGTTAAAAAGGATATGTATCCTATTAGGCCCATAAAATAGCTTGTGCACACACAGGTCCCGTACCAGATAGAAATAATAACCCTTTCAGAAACTATTTTAACCCTTTCAGAAACTGTTCCGGCGGGAAATCCAGCCCCCATTCAAGCCGGCTGTGGCCCGACCGGACGACACTTTCTACTTTGACTCAGAGTTCACCTCCCGCACACCCAAAGGTAAGAGGTCAAAGTTGACAAGAGTAACTTGTCCTAGCATGTTTGCCAACTGACAAAGAAATTATCAGTCTAATTTTAATGGTAGGTTTATTTGAACAGTGAGAGACAGAATAACAACAACAAAAATCCAGAAAAACGCATGTCAAAAATGTTAGAAATTGATTTGCATTTTAATGAGGGAAATAAGTATTTGACCCCCTCTCAATCAGAAAGATTTCTGGCTCCCAGGTGTCTTTTATACAGGTAACGAGCTGAGATTAGGAGCACACTCTTAAATGGAGTGCTCCTAATCTCAGCTTGTTACCTGAATAAAAGACACCTGTCCACAGAAGCAATCAATCAATCAGATTCCAAACTCTCCACCATGGCCAAGACCAAAGAGCTCTCCAAGGATGTCAGGGACAAGATTGTAGACCTACACAAGGCTGGAATGGGCTACAAGACCATCGCCAAGCAGCTTGGTGAGAAAGTGACAACAGTTGGTGCGATTATTCGCAAATGGAAGAAACACAAAATAACTGTCAATCTCCCTCGGCCTGGGGCTCCATGCAAGATCTCACCTCGTGGAGTTGCAATGATCATGAAAACGGTGAGGAATCAGCCCAGAACTCCACGGGAGGATCTTGTCAATGATCTCAAGGCAGCTGGGACCATAGTCACCAAGAAAACAATTAGTAACACACTACGCCGTGAAGGACTGAAATCCTGCAGTGCCCGCAAGGTCCCCCTGCTCAAGAAAGCACATATACATGCCCGTCTGAAGTTTGCCAATGAACATCTGAATGATTCATTACATTACATCTTAGTCATTTAGCAGACGCTCTTATCCAGAGCGACTTACAGTTAGTGAATACATATGGAATTATTATTATTATTATTTTTTTTCATACTGTTCCCCCGTGGAAATCGAACCCACAACCCTGGCGTTGCAAACGCCATGCTCTATCAACTGAGCTACATCCCTGCCGGCCATTCCCTCCCCTACCCTGGACGACGCTGGGCCAATTGTGCGCCGCCCATGAGTCTCCCGGTCGCGGCCGGCTGCGACAGAGCCTGGATTCGAACCAGGATCTCTAGTGGCACAGCTAGCACTGTGATGCAGTGCCTTAGACCACTGCGCCACTCAGGAGACAATTCAGAGGAGAACTGGGTGAAAGTGTTGTGGTCAGATGAGACCAAAATTGAGCTATTTGGCATCAACTCAGCTTGTTGGGCGGCAGGTAGCTTAGTGGTTAAAAGCGTTGTGCCGGTAACCGAAAGGTCGCTGGTTCTAATCCCCGAGCCGATTCGGAAAAAAATCTGTCTGTGCCCTTGAGCAAGGCACTTAACCCTAATTGCTCCTGTAAGTTGCTCTGGATAAGAGCGTCTGCTAAATTACTAAAAAATAATAATAACTCGCCGTGTTTGGAGGAGGAGGAATGCTGCCTATGACCCCAAGAACACCATCCCCACCGTCAAACATGGAGGTGGAAACATTATGCTTTGGGGGTGTTTTTCTGCTAAGGGGACAGAACAACTTCACCGCATCAAAGGGACTATGGACGGGGCCATGTACCGTCAAATCTTGCCAGGGCATTAAAAATGGGTCGTGGGTGGGTATTCCAGCATGACAATGACCCAAAACACACGGCCAAGGCAACTCAAATAGTCAAATACTTATTTCCCTCATTAAAATGCAAATCAATTTATAACATTTTTGACATGCGTTTTTCTGGATTTTTTTGTTGTTATTCTGTCTCTCACTGTTCAAATAAACCTACCATTAAAATTATAGACTGATCATTTCTTTGTCAGTGGGCAAATGTACAAAATCAGCAGGGGATCAAATACTTTTTTCCCTCACTGTATGTGTGCGCCTGTGTTAATGACCTTGTGTTCTCTCTGACCTCTCCCCAGACTCCCCAGGCATTCCACCCAGTGCAGGAGCCCACCAGCTCTTCCGGGGCTTCAGCTTCGTCGCCCCGGCCATGCTGGATGAGGAGGGAGCATTGGAGCCTGCCAAGCCTGCACCACACCCAGTGGTTCAGGTCAGCTGTCCATCACAGATGGGACAAAGCCACTCAGTCCCTCCAATATCTCCTATAAGAATAATAGAACGTTACATATAGTCTCACAAGGGACCAATTCGTTTCTAACCAAATACAAGAAAGAATCCAGAGAGCTCTCCCACACACAGCCAGTTTCCCAGTTCAGATTAAGCCTTAAACTAGACTAAAAAGCTATGTCAACAGAGTTTCTTCATTGGGCAAGCTTTTTATTCCAAGACTAGGCTTAATCAGAGTCCGGGAAACCGCCGCTCATTGTCCTACCCAAAGATTTGTCTTTCATTGCTGTTTGAGGGAGAACATTGCTCATTCACTCTCCGAACACTAGATAGACATATTTAACCAGTCTACAGCACTCATCAATGTAATGACAGTGTAAGCCAGTCTTACTTAGGGTAGATAAGGCTGTGGTTTAGTGCTTGGTGGTTTCACACTGCACATGATGAGGAGTAAGCCTCTAATCCAGTTCCATGGCTGGGTCTAATACCATCAGTAGGGATGCTCCAGTAGATGTGCTTTAACACAACTGTAATAGAGAGTGTGGTTGTGTCTGTGATTGTGCTGGATGAGTAATCGTGCACATCAAATCGAAGTTTATTGGTCACATACACAGTTTAACAGATGTTATAGTGGGTGCAACAAAATGCTTCTAACAATGCAGTAAAATGTTAAACAAGTACACAAATATATATATATTGGAACACAGGACTGATGGTTGCTGATAATGGGCCTCTGTACGCCTATGTAGATATTCCATTAAAAATCAGCCGTTTCCAGTTACAATAGCCATTTACAACATTAACAATGTCAACACTGTATTTCTGATCAATTTGATGTTATTTTAATGGACAATTTTTTTTTTTTTTTTTTTTTCGAAAACAAGGTCATTTCTAAGTGACCCCAAACTTTTGAACGTTAGTGTATATATATATTTTTTTAAAGCACAATTTTTGTTTAATCAATCATGAACGTCAGGATGAATCCAATTAACAACCTAAATAGCACTGTAACAGTAATCAAAATGCAATCTATACGCATGTACACTGGAAGAATTTAGACAAGATATACTAAGAATGATATGTACAGCAGTAGATATATTACAGTGAGCTATGTCAGGAATCCAGTATATAAATAAATATGCGGTGTGTGTGTGTGTATAAACAGTACAGTAGTGGTGCGTGGGTAAACTCACTGGGGAAGCCAAGCCAGGAAAAAATGGCCATATTACAACCTGTTTGCGCTACAACCTGTTCATTCTTATGCCTTGCCACCGTGATATATATAGGCCTTAAGGCCGAGACAAGAGGACAGTGGCAATAATAAATTCAGCCACACCTTCGTTTCATCACAAAACCAGAGAGCAACCTCTGTCCAGTGAACCACAAAGCATGTAACAAACAGTTTACATGACCTACAGCATGGTCAAGCAAGTTAATGTTTCCGACATTTTCAGACTGCTAAAGCTATTGATTTAGAACCACGGAGAGTTACCGCAAGTCACAAAGAAAACAGGAGCTGCCTCTGCTATTTAGCCAACACCATTTCAACTTTAACATTTCATCATCATCTATGCTTAGTCTAATATAGTTACAACTAAAAGACACCAAAAACGATTTAGTCCAATCAACATAAGTTAAATAGAGTTCGCTCCAAAGGATTGGGACAGTGACACATTTTTTGTTGTTTTGGCTCTGTACTCCAGCAGTCTGGATTTGAAATGATACAATGACAATGGAGTTAAAGTTACAGACTGTCAGCTTTAATTTGAGGGTATTTTCATCCATATCGTGTGAACCGTTTAGAAATTAGAGTACTTTTTGTACGTAGTCCCGCCCCATTTTAGGGGACCAAAAGTATTGGGACAAATTCACTTGTGTGTATTAAAGTAGCAAAAAGTTTAGTATTTGGTCCCATAGTCCTAGCACGCAATGATTACATCAAGCTTGTGACTGTACAAACTTGTTTGATGTATTTGCTGTTTGTTTTGGTTGTTTCAGATTATTTTGTGCCCAATAGAAATGAATGGTGCATAATGTATTGTCATTTTGGAGTCACTTTTATTGTAAATAAGAATAGAATATGTTTCCAAACACTTCTACATTAATGTGGATGCTATGATTACAGATAGTCCTGACTTAATCATGAATAATGATTAGTGACAAAATTACAGATGCACAAATGTCATACCCCCCAAGACATGCTAACCTCTCACCATTGCAATAACAGGGGAGGTTAGCATTTTTGGGGGGGGGGGGGGGTATGATATTTGTGAATCTGTCATTTTCTCACTCATCATTATTCACGATTCATTCAGGATTATCCGTAATTCAAGTTTTTGCTGTCAATGACGTTTGGCTTTTGATGTGATTGGTGTGAAGCCAAATCCAAACTGTCTTCCCTTTACACTTTTCTTTTTGTGTGTGCCAGAACCATTCACAGTTGCGCTCACTCAGTTTAGCTCAACGCCGATTGGCTACTATTTATAATTTTTTTATCAAGGGAGTGTGGCTTCCCTTGCATTTAATGCTACGGGCGGCAACAATGTCATACTCTTTCTGACCAGACAGCATCAGATAAATGGGCTACACATATAGAAACAGAGGGGTGCTGTTTCGCTCGCTCTGATGCTTTCTCCGGTGAGGTACATTCAGCCTCCTGCGAACTGAAGGAAAGTTATGAAACACATATAGACGAAAGATACATTATTTTGTTTTTCTTTTTTTATTGGTTCATTTTTGGGGGAAGCCTGGCTTCCCTTGGCATCCATGAATACACGCCACTGAAACAGTATAACTAAATACTAAGTACAGTAGTAGAAATATTAGAATGAGTTATGTCGGGAATGCAGTATTTAAATACTCAGTGTGAAACAGGAAGTGTCCAGTGGTTCAATGTCTCTGTGACATGGGGCAGCGGTCTTGCACCTGTACTGTCTCTGTCTGCCAGACAGTAGCTGAGTGAACAGTCTGTGGCTCAGTTGACTGAGTTCCTTAATGGAATGGGGTGTGGGTGTGTGGACGAATAGTCTAAAAAGAATAAACACATTGATTGTTGTTTGTGAAGCAGTTGTAGCCTGCAGTAAAGTACTGCACCACTGTGTGTGTGATGCTGTAACCCTAACCGCAGCACTCACTTCCCCTTGTTTTCGGTTTGATGTAGCAACTCCATGGGAAGAACCTGTTGTTCAGCGATGGCTACGTGCTGAAGGAAGACATCGGCATGGGCTCCTTCTCTGTCTGCAAGCGCTGCATCCACAAAGCAACCAACACAGAGTACGCTGCCAAGGTCAGAACACCCACACACACACAGATACACACACTTCTCTGCCTGCAAGAGCTTCGTCCACAAAGCCAACAACACCGAGTACGCCGCCAAGGTACCAAAACATACACTGTAGCCTCCCTCTCACTGAGTGTATATCCTGACATATTGAGCAAACACTCTCCCCAGTCCCCCAAGTTCTTATTTGTCCATCTTGTGGGGTGCTTAATCATTGCTAATACAGTAGTTGGACTTGACTCTCTAAAAACAATTTCTGTTGATTTAAGTCATTCAGATCTGTCTTTTGGAGCATGCTGTTCTAGTTTCACATCTCTTGTCTCACACCGTCTCCCCACGGTTTCATAATGGAGTATTTATAATGGCGTTTGTTGTATTATTGTGTACTACCAGGTGATTGACAAGACCATGACAGACCCCTCAGAGGAGATCGAGATCCTGCTGAGATACGGCCAGCACCCCAACATCATCACCCTGAAGGATGTGAGCACACACACACACACACACACACACACACACACACACACACACACACACACACACACACACACACACACACACACACACACACACACACAATCATCACCCAGAAGGATGTGAGTACACGCACACACACCCACACAGACTGAATCATCCTCCATGTGTTCTTTCCATCCGTCAGGTGTATGATAATGGGAAGCAGGTGTATCTGGTGACAGAGCTGATGCGAGGCGGGGAGCTGCTAGACCGGATCCTCAAACAGAAGTTCTTCTCAGAGCGCGAGGCCAGCGCCGTGCTCCACACCATCACCAAGACTGTAGAATACCTCCACGCACAGGGGGTGAGACAACTCTCTACACAACTCTCTACACACACACTGTAACAGACTGGTGAATATGGACTTGAATAAACTTTGTCTTACAAGAGTTTGTTGATATTCCTTGATATCCTTTTTCCTATGTTCTAATATTCTTATATTAAAAAATATATAATTATGTCACAGTATTAACACTACTAGACAAATAATATACAACCAACATCTTATCTCCAAAAAGTCCATTGGAAGTCAAGTGTTGAAGTAACAGTTGAAGGAGATTAAGTTACTTAGTTGTCTTTCAATCACCTCTCTCCTCCCCCTCTCCTCCTCATCTCTCCATCTCCCCTCTCTCCAGGTGGTCCACAGGGACCTGAAGCCTAGTAACATCCTGTATGTAGATGAGTCGGGGAACCCTGAGTCCATCAGGATCTGTGACTTTGGTTTCGCCAAGCAGCTGAGAGCTGACAATGGCCTGCTCATGACCCCCTGCTACACCGCTAACTTTGTAGCTCCGGAGGTAAGCCCGGGACGGTGTATCTGTGTGTGTGTGTGTGTGTGTGTGTGTGTGTGTGAGATGACGATTATGATTAATACCCGTATATACACTGAGTATACCACACATTAGGAACACCTACCTAATATTGAGTTGCAGCCCCCCCTTTGCCCTCAGAACGGCCTCAATTCGTCAGGGCATGGACTCTACAAGGTGTTCGAAAGCGTTCCACAGGGATGCTGGTCTTGTTAACTCCAATGCTTCCCACAGTTGTCAAGTTGGCTAGATGTCCTTTGGGTGGTAGACCATTCTTGATACACACAGGAAACTGTTGAGTGTGAAAAACCCAGCAGTGTTGCAGTTCTTGATACAAACCAGTGCGCCTGGCTAGGGCTGTGGCGGTCATGACATTTTGTCAGCCGGTTATTGTCATGCAAAAGTCTACCGGTCTCACGGTAATTGATCATTAACATAAACAACTTTAGCGTCTCCAGGCCTCCACGCATACAAGCCACATACAAGTTGCTGATGCACACCTTTGGAACATCTACATTTAAAAAAGTATAATAAATCAATTGAACATACTCCATCACCATCACAATAAATCCATTATTTATTTTAGGCAGGTCTAAAGAAACATTATGATATGAAGAAAATGTATTTTAGAAGAACAGCATAGGAGTTGGCCTACTGTATGTTATCTGGCTATGCTCCATGTCATAGGCTGTAGGCTTGTTCATTTAGCAGACAAGATATGCCATTATTTTATATTATATGATTTTATAGTAAGAAGAATATAATTGAATTTAGCTAATAAAATAGAAAGGATTTTTTTTCCGTTCCGGAGCGAGAATGCGCATATGAAGTCGCTATGTTGAGCGTAAAAGTAATAATTTGAAACAGGTCCTATAGCCTACGCTAGATTTAGAGTTACTTGGCAACTTTAGTTGTGAATGATACAAACCATAGAATTCCTTAGAAATCAAAAGATACACTATATAGACAAAAGCATGCGGACAATTAGTGGATTCGGCTATTTCAGCCACACCTGTTGCTGACAGGTGTATAAAAATCGAGCACACAGCCATGCAATTTCCATAGACAAACATTGGCAGTAGAATGGCCTTACTGATGAGCTCAGTGAAAAATCGTCTGTCCTCGGTTGCAACACTCACTACAGAGTTCCAAACTGCCTCTGGAAGCAACATCACAAGAACTGTTCGTCGGGAGCTTCATGAAATGGGTTTCCATGGCCAAGAAGCCAAACACAAGCCTAAGATCACCATGCGCAATGCCAAGCGTCGCCTGGAGTGGTGTAAAGCTTGCCGCCATTGGACTCTGGAGCAGTTGAAATGCGTTCTCTGGAGTGATAAATCACGCTTCACCATCTGGCAGTCCGACGGACAAATCTGGATTTGGCGGATGCCAGGAGAACGCTACCTGCCCCAATGCATAGTGCCAACTGTAAAGATGAAATGGTTTGTCGAGATCGGTGTGGAAGAACAAAAGCATTAAGAAGGAAAGAAATTCCACAAATTAACTTTTAAGAAAGCACACCTGTTAATTGAAATTAGTTCTAGGTGACTACCTCATGAAGCTGGTTGAGAGAATGCCAACAGTGTGCAAAGCTGTCATCAAGGCAAAGGGTGGCTATTTGAAGAATCTCAAATATAAAATATATTTTGATTTGTTTAACATTTTATTGGTTACTACATGATTCCATATGTGTTATTTCATAGTTTTGATGTCTTCACTATTATTCTACAATGTAGAAAATAGTAAAAATAAAGAACAACCCTTTAATGAGTAGGTGTGTCCAAACTTTTGACTGGTACTGTATAGGCCTATGCAGTGCTTGACTTGGGCAGGCGCTCACCGGAGATGAGTACCAGCACCTCAAGTTTTCTACTGCTTATAGAATATTAGCTCAAAAGTATTGTGGAGCTCCTCCACCTAAATATAAACAGTACCAGCACCCAAAATGAGTACCGGCACCTATTTCAGTCCAAGTCAAGCACTGGGCCTGTGCATAATCTCTAATATGCATATGGGTGTTTTGAATTAATCATCACCTTAGAAAGCGCTGTGTTAGGCTTTGAAACAACATCCACAATGACCATGTTTTCCACTCTGTTTCAACCTGTTGTTGAACTTCTTTCTTCAAATTGATCAATCACAGTGAGGTGCGTTTTAAAAGCACATACTGTTTTTATGATGCGTTTGTGATGTTCGATTGCATTTGCATTGATGCCAGAGTGGTTAGAGGGACAATGGAGCCCTGAGTACCAGGACATTAGGGACCTGATGGCCATTAGTGAGTTGGGTACTACCAACATGCCTAGAGTGCATAAGTGGAGATTACCATGACTCAACGGTCACATAGAATTTGCTGCTGCCATGACTCATGACTACCGGTGTGGCGGTAATACGGTCTACCATACCCCGTTCAAAGGCACTTCAATCTTTTGTCTTGCCCGTTCACCCTCTGAATGGCACACATACACAATCAATGCCTCAATTGTCTCCAGGCTTAAAACTTATTTAACCTGTATCCTCCCCTTCATCTACACTGATTGAAGTGGATTTAACAAGTGACATCAATAAGGGATCATAGCTTTCACCTGGATTCACCTGGTCAGTCTATGTCATGGAAAGAGCAGGTGTTCATAATGTTTTGTATGCTCAGTGTAGCGTCCTTGTCAAAGTCTAGGGTGCATAGCCTTTGGGCGTATAGCTTTACCCCGGTGATGCACGATAGCCAATATTGGGACGTATTGCTCTGTCTGTGTGTTCCAGGTGTTGAAGCGTCAGGGCTATGACGAAGGCTGTGATATTTGGAGTCTGGGTGTCTTGCTGTACACCATGCTGGCTGGGTGAGGAACACACACACACACACACACACCATACCACTCATACATCTGTGCACAATATTCCACTCCATATGACATTTACATCCAACAAAATGTAATGTTGTCACTCACGTGCATACACACTCACTCTCATTTGACTTGTCCCCTGTGCTCCCTCCCTCCCCTCCCCCTCAGCTTCACGCCGTTTGCCAACGGACCCGAGGACACTCCAGATGAGATCCTGAGCAGGATAGGCAGCGGTCACTTCACTCTGACAGGAGGCAACTGGGACGCCGTGTCGGACGCAGCCAAGGTACAGTAGGACTGACTAGGACTTGCTGAGTGACTTTTTGACCTTTTCACATGATCGTGCCGTGAAGTAGAACAATAGTGGTTTAGTTTGGATTTCAAGGATAGAGGTGTACAGTATATAATATGATAAAATCCCAACAAACCGGCATCCCGAGTTGCGCAGCGGTCTAAGGCACTGCACTGCAGTGCTTGAGGAGTCACTACAGACCCTGGTTCGATCCCAGGCTGTGTCGCAGCCGGCCGTGACCAGGAGACCCATGAGGCGGCGCACAATTGGCCCATTGTCGTCCGTGTTAGGGGAGGGTTTGGCCTGCCAGGATTTCCTTGTCCCATCGCACTCTAGCGACTCCTTGTGGCGGGCCGGGCGCCTGCAAGCTGACTTCAGTCACCAGCTGGAAGGTGTTTCCTCCGACACATTGGTGCGGCTGGCTTCCGGGTTAAGCGAGCAGTGTGTCAAGAAGCAGTGCGGCTTGGCAGGGTCGTGTTTCGGAGGACGCATGGCTCTCGACCTTCGCCTCTCCCGAGTCCGTAGGGGAGTTGCAGTGATGGGACAAAACTGTAACTACCAATTGGATATCATGAAAAAGGGGTAAAAAAAACAAAATCAAACCATTAATTTCTTCCTTCCTGCTGTGTGTGTTCTTTCTCTTTAGGACCTGGTGTCTAAGATGCTCCATGTGGACCCCCACCAGCGGCTGACAGCCATGCAGGTCCTCAAGCACCCCTGGATCGTCCAGAGGGACAAGCTGCCCAACAGCCAGCTGCAGCACCAGGACGCCAAGCTGGTCAAGGTACTGGATTGATACTATAATGTACACTCTACTGTACCCACTGGGCAATCCAGGGTTGGGGGTCAACTCCGTTTTTGTTCAGAGGGTGAATTTGTATTTCTAATGGACACAGCTAGTGCCATTACAGTCCCGAAAAGTATGTTCCGTCAATAGCGCAATGTGACCTAACTTTTTATTTTAAAGGTATATTTTGGGGAATTGTATGCTTTATTGGATAGAGGAGAGACAATGGGAAAGATGGATAGAGAGTGTGCTGAAATGGCAGTGGGCCGGAGTCGAACCCATGCTGCAGCGGTATATGTGAGCCGTAGGCAGCGGTTCAGTCCGTTAGACCACCCTAGGCCATAGTGTGACCTAATTTTGTAGTGCCTGCAGCGCTTTATTTGTAAATCGGGAGGTGACGGCACAAAAAGTGGGCGCAAGAGGGGCGTGACCTGGGGAGCTCTGAGGTACCGGAACGCACGAGAAAAGGAAAAAAAAATCACCTTTATGATACAGCATTGCATGCAGGCAGGTAGCTTAGTCGTTAAGAGCGTTGTGCCAGTAACCGAAAGGTCGCTGGTTCTAATCCCCGAGCCAACTAGGTGAAAAATCTGTCGATGTGCCCTTGAGCAAGGCACTTAACCCTAATTGCTAGTGTAAGTCTGCTAAATGACTAACATTTACATAGTGACATTGAGTAGAACAGAGGCACTTACAGAATTTGCGCACAATATATTGTAGCCTTTTATTTTTTTTAAATCATGTAATTCTACGTAATTTTACATAACTGGAGACTTTAGTCAAATATTTGTTAATACCACACAAATTATCGAAATGACAGGCTACTCTAGCACTGACAGAGAAATACAAAACAGCCTTGTCTTGAATGCAACAAATAGCCTAGGCTTACGATAAGAGTGGAGACAAAAGATGGTACAGGAGGAAATTATAGTCCTGAACAAGTTTAGTGTCACTGACTCACCCAATGATGCGCAGCGCACTCACCAGTGTTGCTGTTCGCTCAATAGGCCTACTTGGGAATTGATCAAATATTTTGGAGGCCTATAGACATACAAGTCTTCTTTTAAGCAGGAGCCATTTGCTTTCCAACCTGTGCTTTTCCCACGATTGTATTCAAAATATTGCGAAAGGCCTGTTTTGGCAGCTGTTCAGACAGCCACAACTCAACAATCAGGTGATTGATAGCCTACAGTCGCCTTGGTCTCTAGACTTCAATGTTGCACAAACCTAATCCCTGGCCTGGCCCAACCGGAATCATTTCTCAGAATTTCAGGCGGGGGCTGAAAATCTATGTTTTCACATGACGTTTGGGCAGGATAATTAACGAGGAGGCATCTTAATAAACTCTTAATAAAATCGCTTTTATTCAAATTGCCTTCTCTTTCAAGTTAAAACTGCAATATGTTACTTTTTGGGTGACCTGACCAAATGCACATAGAAATGTCAGTTATAGATCTGTCATTCTCATTTAAAGCAAGTCTAATAAGTGGTATATCTGTTCTATGTGGGCTATTTCTATGCTTCCCGTTCTTAAGTTTCGTTTTTGCATCTTTTACTTTTGGTTTTGAACACCAGCTTCAAACAGCTGAAAATACAATATACAGCTCTGGAAAAAATTAAGAGACCACTGCAAATGTTTCTTAAATCAGCATCTCTACATGTATGACAGCCATTCCATTCCAGTGTCTGTTGAATTCCAACACAGGCACACCTCATTCTACTGAATTAGGTACTGATTAGGTGATCACATGAACCAAATCTTATTTAACAAGGAAAAGTATAAAATCCACTGCTGTGGTCATCACTATCCTCTTGCAATAGGACCAGCTGGATGGCAAAAACAGTGCTAATAGTACCTCAAAAGTAATATTAATTTAAAAAATAACTATTGACCATGCCAAAAGAGTTGAAAAGGAAAGTTTTGGGTGAGGAAAAGAATGGTTCAATTCTGGCTTTACTGGCAGAGGGATACAGTGAGCGTCAGGTTGCTTCCATCCTGAGGTACCGGAACAGAACAGCGCCGGAGAAGATGGCTGCCGTTTTACAGCCCTCTAACCAATTGTACTATTATGTGTGTTTTTCCGCGTTATTTGTAATTTATTTTGTACATAATGTTTCTGCCATCGTCTCTTATAACCAAAAAGAGCTTCTGGATATCAGGACAGCGATTACTCACCTCGCATTGGACGAAGATTTTTTCTTCAACGAGGCGGTCGCGAAGGATATCCTACAGACACCCGACAAGGCCCAGATCCCCGTCATTTGCGTGAGGAAGAGACGGAGATATCGCGGACGCAGATCCGGGTGCCTTGTAAGGATCCGACGGCGAGCGAGTAAACTGCCTCTCCCATCAATCCTATTAGCCAACGTTCAATCTTTTGAGAATAAAATGGACGATTTAAGATTACGGTTATCCTACCAACGGGACATTAAAAACTGTAATATCTTATGTTTCACGGAGTCGTGGCTGAACGACAACAATGATAACATTCAGCTAGCAGGCTATACGCTACATCGGCAGGACAGAACGTCTGACTCTGGTAAGACAAGGGGTGGCGGTCTCTGTATATTTGTAAACAACAGCTGGTGCACAAAATCAAATACTAAGGAAGTCTCGAGGTTTTGCTCGCCTGAGGTAGAGTATCTTATGATAAGCTGTAGACCACACTATTTACCAAGAGAGTTTTCATCTATATTTTTCATAGCTGTCTATTTACCACCACAAACCAATGCTGGCATTAAGATTGCACTGAATGAGTTGTACAAGGCCATTAATCAACAGGAAAACGCTCATCCAGATGCAGCGCTCCTAGTGGCCGGGGACTTTAATGCAGGGAAACTTAAATCCGTTCTACCTAATTTCTACCAGCATGTTAAATGTGCAACCAGAGGGAAAAAAACTCTAGACCACCTTTACTCCACACACAGAGACGCATACAAAGCTCTCCCTCGCCCTCCATTTGGCAAATCTGACCATAACTCTATCCTCCTGATTCCTGCTTATAAGCAAAAACTGAAGCAGGAAGCACCAGTGATTCGGTTAATAAAAAAGTGGTCAGATGACGCAGATGCTAAGCTACAGGACTGTTTTGCTAGCACAGACTGGAACATGTTCCGGGATTCTTCAGACAGCATTGAGGAGTACACCACATCAGTCACTGGCTTCATCAATAAGTGCATCGATGATGTCGTCCCCACAGTGACCGTACGTACATACCCCAACCAGAAGCCATGGATTACAGGAAACATCCGCACTGAGCTAAAGGGTAGAGCTGCCGCTTTCAAGGAACGGGACTCTAACCCGGACGCTTATAAGAAATCCCGCTATGACCTCCGACGAACCATCAAACAGGCAAAGAGTCAATACAGGTCTAAGATTGAACAAGCCTACCAGACGAGCTAAACCACTTCTATGCTCACTTCGAGGCAAGCAACACTGAAGCATGCATGAGAGCACCAGCTGTTCCGGATGACTATGTGATCACGCTCTCCGTAGCCGATGTGAGTAAGACTTTTAAGCAGGTCAACATTCACAAGGCCGCAGGGCCAGGCGGATTACCAGGACGTGTACTCCGAGCATGTGCTGACCAACTGGCAAGTGTCTTCACTGACATTTTCAACATGTCCCTGACTGAGTCTGTAATACCAACATGTTTCAAGCAGACCACCATAGTCCCCGTGCCCAAGAACTCTAAGATAACCTGCCTAAATGACTACCGACCCGTAGCACTGACGTCTGTAGCCATGAAGTGCTTTGAAAGACTGGTCATGGCTCACATCAACAGCATAATCCCAGAAACCCTAGACCCACTCCAATTTGCATACCGCCCCAACAGATCCACAGATGATGCAATCTCTATCGCACTCCACACTGCCCTTTCCCACCTGGACAAGAGGAACACCTACGTGAGAATGCTATTCATTGACTACAGCTCAGCATTCAACACCATAGTGCCCTCTAAGCTCATCACTAAGCTAAGGATCCTGGGACTAAACACCTCCCTCTGCAACTGGATCCTGGACTTCCTGACGGGCCGCCCCCAGGTGGTAAGGGTAGGTAACAACACATCTGCCACACTGATCCTCAACACGGGGGCCCCTCAGGGGTGCGTGCTCAGTCCCCTCCTGTACTCTCTGTTCACCCATGACTGCATGGCCAGGCACGACTCCAACACCATCATTAAGTTTGCCGACGACACAACAGTGGTAGGCCTGATCACTGACAACGATGAGACAGCCTATAGGGAGGAGGTCAGAGATCTGGCCGTGTGGTGCCAGGACAACAACCTCTCCCTCAACGTGACCAAGACAAAGGAGATGATTGTGGACTACAGGAAAAAAAAGAGGACTGAGCACGCCCCCATTCTCATCGACGGGGCTGTAGTGGAACAGGTTGAGAGCTTCAAGTTCCTTGGTGTCCACATCACCAACGAACTATCATGGTCCAAACACACCAAGACAGTCGTGAAGAGGGCACGACAAAGCCTATTCCCCCTCAGGAGACTAAAAAGATTTGGCATGGGTCCTCAGATCCTCAAAAAATTCTACAGCTGCACCATCGAGAGCATCCTGACTGGTTGCATCACCGCCTGGTATGGCAACTGCTTGGCCTCTGACCGCAAGGCACTACAGAGGGTAGTGCGTACGGCCCAGTACATCACTGGGGCAAAGCTCCCTGCCATCCAGGACCTCTATACCAGGCGGTGTCAGAGGAAGGCCCTCAAAAATTGTCAAAGACTCCAGCCACCCTAGTCATAGACTGTTCTCTCTGCTACCGCACGGCAAGCGGTACCGGAGTGCCAAGTCTAGGTCCAAAAGACTTCTCAACAGCTTCTACCCCCAAGCCATAAGACTCCTGAACAGCTAATCATGGCTACCCGGACTATTTGCACTGCCCCCCCACCCCATCCTTTTTACGCTGCTGCTACTCTGTTAAGTATTTATGCATAGTCACTTTAACTCTACCCACATGTACATATTACCTCAACTACCTCAACTAGCCGGTGCCCCCGCACATTGACTCTGCAACGGTACCCCCCTGTATATATAGCCTCCCTACTGTCACTTTATTTTACTGTATATATAGCCTCCCTACTGTCACTTTATTTTACTTCTGCTCTTTTTTTCTCAACACTTTTTTTGTTGTTGTTTTATTCTTACTTTTTTTGTTTAAAATAAATGCACTGTTGGTTAAGGGCTGTAAGTAAGCATTTCACTGTAATGTCTGCACCTGTTGTATTCGGCGCATGTGACCAATAACATTTGATTTGATTTGATTTGATCCTAAAAATTTCAAAGACGGCGGTTCATAAGAACAAGGTCAAGCAGCAGACATTGGGGACATCAAAGCTACAGACCGGCGGATGACATCAAGTGACCTACAAAAAGAATGGCAAACGGCAGCTGGGGTGAGGTGCATGGCGAGGACGGTTCGAAACAGGCTCCTAGGGGCAGGGCTGAAGTCGTGCAAAGCTAGAAAAAAGCCCTTCATCAATGAGAAGCAAATATGAGCCAGGCTGAGGTTTGCAAAAGACCATAAGGATTGGACCGTAGAGGACTGGAGTAAGGTCATCTTCTCTGATGAGTCCAATTTTCAGCTTTGCCCAACACCTGGTCGTCTAATGGTTTGACGGAGACCTGGAGAGGCCTACAAGCCACAGTGTCTCGCACCCACTGTGAAATTTGGTGGAGGATCAGTGATGATCTGGGGGTGCTTCAGCAAGGCTGGAATCGGGCAGATTTGTCTTTGTGAAGGACGCATGAATCAAGCCACGTACAAGGTTGTCCTGGAAGAAAACTTGTTTCCTTTTGCTCTGACATTGTTCCCCAACTCTGAGGATTGGTTTTTCCAGCAGGACAATGCGCCATGCCACACAGCCAGGTCAATCAAGGTGTGGATGGAGGACCACCAAATCAATACCCTGTCATGGCCAGCCCAATCTCCAGACCTGAACCCCATTGAAAACTTCTGGAATGTGATCAAGAGGAAGCTGGATGGTCACAAGCCATCAAACAAAGCCGAGCTGCTTGAATTTTTGCGCCAGGAGTGGCATAGTCACCCAACATCAATGTGAAAGACTGGTGGAGAGCATGCCAAGACGCATGAAAGCTGTGGTTGAAAATCAGGGTTATTCCACCAAATATTGATTTCTGAACTCTTCCTAAGTTAAAACATTAGTATTGTGTTGTTTAAAAATGAACATGAACTTATTTTCTTTGCATTATTCGAGGTCTGACAACACTGCATCTTTTATTTTTATTTTGACCAGTTGTCATTTTCTGCAAATAAATGCTCTAAATGACAATATTTTTATTTGGAATTTGGGAGAAATGTTGTCAGTAGTTTATAGAATAAAACAAATGTTAATTTCACCCAAACACATACCTATAAATAGTAAAACCAGAGAAACTTGTATTTTTGCAGTGGTCTCTTATTTTTTCCAGAGCTGTATTTCACAGTGGTTTTGATGGTACAATGATTCTCTACACTATACGTGCCAGATTCTGTGTGCGCCTGCAACTGAAACTGTTTGTCCTCCAAACTGGTATCTTGACGTTGCACTACTTCTCTTCCCACAGGGGGCGATGGCGGCCACCTACTCAGCCTTGAAGAGCTCCCAGCCCACGCCGGAGCTCAAGCCCATCGAGTCTTCCTTCCTGGCCCAGCGACGTGTCAAGAAGCTCCCCTCCACCTCTCTGTAGAACCATGTAGAACCATGTAGAACCCCAGACTCTAGCTACAACAACCCCAGTCAGTCAGTACAGCAGCAAGTCACGAGACTGAAGAGACAAGCAGACCACCTCAGTTTAACCAGCCAAGGACCACTGACTGTGCTCTGCTGTAGTCACCTCCCCCTGCCGGTGATATCAGTCATCTCGGTTTCCTCCTCGATAGGCGTGGTCACTGGCTGTCAATCACACTGGACTAGTGACAGGACATGGCTGGGGATGAGTGGGCAGTGGGGTAGCGGCAGGTTATGGCAAATGTGTTAGCAGTATATTTTGGATAACAGTTGTGAGCCTTGAGTTTGCGAGACAACCTGCTACCACAGAGGACATTGATGACCATTGTTGATGTTTCGGTAGTGTTTCTGTTCTGCTTTTGTTTTGATTGGCTCTCCCCTCAACATCGCTGTGATTGGCTGCCGCTCAGCTCTCTGCACGTCTGTCTTTCTGTCTGTTTGGTGTGTTGTTCTCTCTCCAGTTGATTAGCTTTACGTATTAATAGGCTACTGCCAAATCGATTTGTTTCATGTTTTTGCTGTTTTTCCATTGGGAAATCTTGAAGGGACTATGGCACAAAACAAAATCACAGTCCATTGCTATCATTCTCCTATTTTTGGATGACCATTAAAATAAAAAAACATTTAGCCATAAATGCCTCATCTTTTTGAGACCATACCAGAAGTAGCAACTCTGGGTAATGTAGTCACTGCTAATGTTTTTTCCAAGCTGAGCGTTTCAATGTCCATTGCATGACAGTATGAAAATGTATGCACTCACTAACTGTAAGTCGCTCTGGATAAGAGCGTCTGCTAAATGACTAAAAATGTAAAAACAAAAAAAGGATTTACAGTGAGGCCAGTCCTAGGGAAGGTTGCAGGAAGTTGTTTGCATGGTCTGGTGCAGTGTGACGTCATGTTGCTTTGTCCTTCTCTTATCTATACTTTTCTTGGTGACCTTGCCGATTCTGAGAAGAAGAAAAAAAGAGATTGGAGATATTGTAAAAAAAAAAATATATTGTTAAAAAATGAATAGGAGGATCTTTAATGCCCTAAATAAGGTGGCATGTTGAAATCTGTTAATTTTTTTTCTTCCCATTGTGTTTTCTTCTTGCCTATTTTGAATGCTGTCTTTCTTGTGTTCGCTTTTGTTGTTGCCTGTTGTTTTTGTTATGTTTTGTTGTTCGGTCCAAAGAAAGTGGTGATTACATTTTGTAAAAGGCATGTCGAGCACACACGCTGTCGGAGCGTCCATGATGGACTCTCTTTCCCACAATCCTCCTCTATTTCAATGTTAAGATGTCAAGTATGGTGATATTGATTGTCGAAACAATTGTACTGAGCACTCAAATGCACTCTCTCCCTTAAAGTCACTGTAAAGCATTGGTTTTCATCTTTTACTAAAACAATATTGTTTGGGCTTTTCTGATTTGAAATTGCCTGTCTGCTGGTTTTAATCAGGACTTATAAAGTGAATGTCCACAGGTAATTTTTTTTGTCTCCTGTTCAGTTTGACTCTACTACCCGGGTAAAGGTATTTTCACACTATTGTGCCAACCTGAACCAAACTGCGCCGGCACTGCTATTTTAACCTGGCCAGCTCAGTACAGCTTGGTTTGGCTCTAATGTGAAAAGCCCTTGACTTCCATTAAGTTTTTTCTCTATTTTACTTAATCATAGGTCATAATAACTTCTAGACTAAAGGATCATTGTATTATTTGCTGTATTGGAATAATACACATTTGTGGCTAAATTTAAGTAGCTTGTAAGGTAACTTGACCTACAGCATAGTTTAGATCCCATAAGCTTCTTTAGACTTGACCCTTGACTTTTAGATATCTGAAGCATATCTGTAGCAATGAGGATGGTGGGTCGGGATGGGGTGCAGGGGGTAGTTCACCCTCTTCTGCCATTGCAGCAGTGGGGATTCAGGCTTATAGGGAGTTAAAATGACATTCCTTTCTATTAAAAACATTTTCTCTGCGCTGACCAGACTGCTCAGTCTCTGCTTTAACTTCCTCTTATTTTCTGTGATGTCTGTATGTATGTGTACATTAATAATATAATACAAATAACACGGTTTGCACTCAATTCAGGCTAGCTTGGATAATATGGAAATTGCAAACACTGTGGAAAAACAAAAAGGGTCTATGCAGATTCCTTTCAAAGGGGAATTGAACATGTTCCTATATTAGTCTGTCAGTGTCTGTGTGTTCATACACTTTTCATGGACCAAACCTTTAAGTGTAGAGTGTCCTAGACCCTTTGCTGTAGTGATTGATGTGAGTGTTCCTTTAAAACACCCAGGGAACAGTGTGTTACGCAAGCAGAAGAACACTGTGTGCATCTCACACACACACACAAACAGCAGGGGGTACACTTTCATGTCCTCCCTGCCTTCCCAAACGTCCTCAAATGCACTCCGACTAGCTCCTGTGATGGACCTTTGTTGCAGGCGCACACACACACTTAGGCAGCTTTTAACATAGTAACACCTTCCTCTCCTCTTCTGCATCAAACCATTATGTTCTATAACACCCTTGTGTACTGACCACATGCTCCCTGAAACAGACTACCATCCACTCTCACTAAAATGCTCACTCTCACTTGCATACAGTACCGCCACAAACTTGCCTAATTCCTACCTCCTCCTTCACTCTCCTTCACAATGGCATACAAACTCTCTACATAACATCAAATAATATTCTGGTCAACATCAAATAGAAAAACTCATTCATTCTAAACACAATGCTATTTTTCAGAGAACAAGTGAACTACTGACTTTCAGCATGCATATAGAGAAGGGCACTCATTGTACTGCACTGACTCAGATGACAGATGATTGGTTAAAATTGATAATATTATGATAGTTGGAGCTGTATTGTTAAAGTTCAGTGCAGCCTTTGATGATGTTGATCATAAATTGTTATTGAAAAAACTCACTTGCTATGGCTTTACATCACCTGCCATCACATGGTTGGATAATTATTTATCCATAAGAACCCAGAGAGTGTTCTTCAATGGAAGCTTCTCTAACATCATATATGTACAGTGCATTGTCCCTCAGGGCAGTTGCCTTGGGCCGTTAGTCTTCTCTATTTTTACAAATGATTTGCTTCTGGTCTTACACGAAGCTAAAATGACTATGTATGCGGATGATTCCACACTCTACATGTCAGCACCCGAAGCAAGTGAGTTCACTGAAATTCTAAATAAGGAGTTACAGTCAGTATCAGAATGGGTGATTAGTAATAAACTGGTCTTAAATACATCTAAAACTAAAAGCATTGTATTTGGTTCAAAACATTCTCTAAGACCTAAACCTCAACTGGAGTTGTACATAAAGGATGTGACCATTGAGCAAGTTGAGGAAGCTAAACTAGGTAACATTGGATGGTCAATTATCATGGGCAACTCACATTGACAAAGTTGTTGTGACGATGGGGAGGGGTATGTCTGTTATAAAAAGATGTCCTGCGTTTTTGACACAAAAATTAACTGTATTATTAGTTCAGGCTCTGGTCTTGTCCCATCTTGATTACTGTCCGGTAATATGGTCAAGTGCAGCAAAGAAAGACCTAGCAAAGCTGCAGCTGGCTTAAAACAGAGCAGCACGCCTGGCCCTTAACTGCACATGCAGAACTAACATCAACAACATGCATGCCAGTCTTTCCTAGTTGAGGGTTGACGAGACATTAACTGCTTCTCTTCTAGTTTTTATGAGAAATATTACTGTGATGAATTCCAGATTATCTGCATAATCAAATAACATTCAGCTCAGACACCCATATATACCCCACAAGACATGCCACCGGAGGTCTCTACACCGTCTCCAAGTCCAAAATGAATTCACGGCAACGCAACATTTTATACAGCGCCATGATCGTATAGAACTCCCTTCGATCTCCAAATCCTGAAAAAACGGATTAAACAACTCATGGAACGGAGGGGACTGTGAGGGGACACGCACACCATTTCTTGGTATTGTTTGTATATCGTATTTTAAATATGTGTGATTGTCCTTGTCCATCAGTCTATCAGTGTTTTTTTACTTGTTATTTTGTGTGTTTTGTGTGGACCCCAGGAAGAGTAGCTACTGCTTCTGCAAAAGCTAATGGGGATCCAAATAAACAAACAAAATAAACACTCTCTCGTCCTCTGTTCATTCATCTCTCTCACTCACTCACTCACTCACTCACTCACATACCAGGGGGCTCTGTGCTCTTACCTTGAGCGTCAGTGTACAGGCAATTCACACTGCAGTAAATTACCCCTCTCCAACCACACACATACTAACAGACTTTCCCAGGTTCCCGGTATTAATTACAGTACTGTACATGCATCTTTCCATCCGGCTCCCATTACATTACCCTGGTCTCCTCCGTCTGAAAGAATCTAGTCAAAAGTAGTGCACTATATAGGGAATAGGGTGCCATTTGGGACAAACCCTGGAAGATGCTGCATTGCCTCATTTCATCTGCTGTCATAATGGCGGGCAGGTCTGTTCATTAGGGCAAACCGTAGCAACATGTTTTCAACGGAAATCGAAACAAGCATTTCTTATTGGGCCAGTACAGATAGTACTTCCCCATTTCACTCCATTTCTTAAAATTGTCTTCCGTTTGTGCCTACTGATCACGAGTCTGTTTGATTTAGAGGCAGCACTAGATAGAGGCAGGAGCACCAATTGCCCTGCGGATGAGTAACCGTGTCTGATAGTCATAAAACGCAGAGTGAAGGCTGCCTCTGACTCTTCCTCTGTTTCTGCGTGGGCACCAGACCTTGGAGATGCTCTGATAAGAAAGAGGCAGAGTGTGTTAACCCCTCTCACTCCAAAATAGTGAAATTGAACCTATGAGCACAAGACATTGAAAAGCTGTCTTTTTGGTTGAAAATACATATTTTCAACGTCTTGTGTTCACTGGGATTTTCGATAATAGTATGAACATCTACTGAACAACCTGATTTAATGGGTGTTTTATGCAGTTGGTTTTTACCCTTACGAAAAAAGATTGCAGTCAGTAGTTAGAATGCAGTATAACTGCAGTATGCTGCAAATACTGCGTCCAAAATAACTTTTTTTTTTACTGCAGTAAGTTTGCAGCATAATTGCAGTTACAGTGCAGTATAACTGCAGTTCAGCTGCAGTACACTGCAGTTATTCTGCTATCAATGCGTCCAAAATACCACAGTTGATTGCAGTTACTGGACTTTTAAAACTGCAATCTTTTTTTGTAAGGGTAGTTCTCAATATGGCTGATGTGAGCTCAATTCTGATTGTGCCTCTGGATAGATTTTGTTAGAGCTGTGGTACTGCACACAC